CGTGGGTGGCGTCTCTGAGCCGCTTGCGCCGCCTGCTGGCGGTCCTGGCCCTTGATCCCCCTCTTTCCCCTGTCTTTTGCCCCCCGTTTCCCCTCCTCACACCTCTCTGACAGTCACTGGGCTGGCTCCCAGGCACCCTCCGCTTTCCCTGCCGCCCGCTGTGCCCGATCGGCTCCTCGCAGCCCCGCGCTCCGCCGCCCTGTCTGTTGGTTGGTTTCATACTTATATTGTCCAGAGCTAGTGGGCACGGCTTGTGTGTCCCCAGCCCTTTAAAGGGCCCGGTTCTCTGTAATCTCAGTCAGTCAGTCATTTTGTCGTCGGCCGCGACGTTAAATAAGGAGCTGGATGAGTGCCGGTGGGTGATACCACAGGCACGAGTTCGAACCCCAGCCGGGACACTAGCTGGGACTTTGCCTCACGGCACCTTCGTGGCGGCATCTGGGCGGCGGACGGCTGCCCGGCAGACCGGCATGGCGCTTGCAAGACGGAGCCTCCCCGGGATGCCATCGGCGGCCAGATTTTCCTCGCTCTGGACAGCCGGCAGGGTTAGTGGGTTCGGCCCCAGCACATTAATGTGCCCAATCCCTGTAACACACACACACACACACACACACACACACTCCCTTGCCTGCTGCCGGCTTTCTTTGAGCCTGCCGGCCTGCTTTCGATCGCTGGCACATCTGTGCCGTGAGGGCTAGCTGGTAGTGCTTGTGGTGACTGGTTACCATGGCACCTGCTCCGGTGCCAATAGATCATAGCAACAGACAAAGCAAGTGCACCTGGCATCTTGGGCGGCCAGCACAGATGACAATGAAGAATGAGATGTGGAGAGCCACTTGTTTGAGAAGCGTGGGATGCGTCAAAGAGCGTTGATGCATGTTGAGTTCGGGAGCGTGTGTGCACGGGATTGGAAGAGCAATGCAACGGCAAATTGTTTATTTTTCAACGTGGATCAACCTGGCTGGCAAGCTCTCAGCGGCAGCGGCATGGGCCCGCCCGACATCACTCGGTAGGAAACACCTGCGGCAGCTCGGCCGGCAGGCTGGCGTGCTTCAGGCCCGAATAGTCGCCGCGAGTGAAGAAGGGGTGGGACAGCGCCTCGCGCGCAAGCAGGCCAGAGCTGCAGCAGACGGGAGGGGGCCGATGTAAATTCAGTGCGCATGGGCTGCTAAGCTTGCTGGGCAACAAGGGAGCGGGCTGGTCCGACACTGCTGGACCAGGCATAGCCCGCTCCATCATCCACTCACTTGTAAGGCAGGATGTGGCCCTTGAGCCTGCACAACGCGCACAGGCAGTGCACATGCATGGTAAGGTGGAGCGCTCGGAGTGCTGGCGCCAGGAACGCCCAGGACAGCCCCACAGCAACGGCAATCCTGCAGCAAGGCCCGCCAGAAGCGCCGCAGCATGGCAGCTTGCCTGATGTGCCAGCGGCGGAACCAGTGCTGCCACTTGTGGCGGCCAAAGGCCGCAGAACCTGGCTCCCCTTCTGCGGTCCGCACCCTCATCTTGACGCCTGCAACGGGGCAGAGGGCAACCGGCGCTTGACTTGTCAGGGGGTCACGTTGGCAAAGTCGGCTATTGCGGTGTGGCTGCCGCCACCCCCGGCCGTTGCGCATGCAGCTGGAGAGCACGGGGAGCTGCAAGCTGGGCCGCAGGCGGTGGCTTGGGGCCCCAGGGGTGCACCTGTGACGTGGTGAACCAGGGAGCACAGGGCCGCCACCTCGTCTTCATCCTCCTCCGGCCAGCACCTGCACCCGGACCAGCGCCGGCTATCAGCAGCAAGCAGCAGGCCGGAGCAGAGCATGGAGGATGGGCAAGCCAGCATGCGCTGGGCGGACTGGCGGGCCTGCCGCCACTGCCGCCCCACCTGTCATCCAGCGCCAGCGCAATGCCCAGCAGCAGGTGGAAGGCGTCGCCCTTGCGGTGCCAGAAGTGCCTGCAGGAGGCGAGGGGGCGAACAGGGTATGTTTGGGCGGTGGGGGGGCAGGGCAACAACGGGCTGCAGCAGCACCTGCCGCTGGCAGCACGCATGAGCATTCGCCGCCGTCAGCTGCTGCATGTGCCGCCTTGCCACAAGCGCACAGGCAAAACCGGCTCATCCCCACCTGTACATCGTCTCGATGGGGCTCTTCCGCTTCTTCTTCTTCTTCTTCTTGCTTCCTGCATGGAGGAGAGCACACACAGGAGTGCAGGCGGGCACGAGTGAGGCGCGCAAGGCAGCATGGCACAGTACCGCAGTGCTGCCGCGAAGCAGGCCAACTTGCTGTGAGGCTGCCTGCCCTGCCAGCATGCCCTGCCGGCAGGCAGCACGCGCAAAACTGCCGGGAGAAAGCCTGCCGCAGGCCGGGGAAGCGGCCATGCCGGAGCCCCGGCTGGCAGCGCTCACCCGCCGCCTCCTTGTGGTGCTCCGCCACGGCGTCGGCCGCCTGCTTGAAGCCAGCATCCTGGAAGGAGGCCAGCCGGATGGGCTCCCACTCCGCCTGCAGCGCAGCCTCCTCCACGACGCCACCCTCCTCCGCCACCGCTGCCTCCTCGTCGGTGGCGGCGGCGGCGGCGCCGCCAGGCCCTGCAGAGCGCCGGCTCTTCACGGATGCCAGTTTTTTGACGGGGCGGATGATCACGGTGAGCTGCAGCGCGGCAGGAGGGAGGGAAGGCGAGGAAATGAGGAATCGGGGCGGGTGGGCGGCGATGTGTGCGCGGGCGTGCGGGGTGTGGAGGTGTGGGAGGTGGCCGGCGAGGGGTGCGGGCACATGCGCAGGGCGCGTGTGTGGCAAAGCCGAGCGGCTCAACCATCGCCCCCGCCTACGAGTTCCGCGTTCCGAACCTGCACCTGCACTGCCTGACCGCCCCCCCAAACCCACGCCACCCCACCAGGCACCCACCCGGCTCTTGCTGGGAGAGATCATGTTCTTGAGGCGGGCCATGAAGCCCTTGTGCTTGGTCACATCGCTGGGCTCATACTCAATGGTGGCGGGCTGCGGGGGCAAGGCACAGCGAGCACGACACAACATCACAAACGAGGCGCGGCAGGAGCAGGGCAGGGCCAGCTCAGGGGCGGCAGGGGGGCTCAGGGGCCGCACACCCGCTCGTGGCATGTCAGGGCAAGACGGGGCGGGTGCGTCGACCCCGCCCGCGGCACCGGCAGCCAGCGGCCGCCGGCGTGGCGCGCAGGGCTGGCTCCGCGGCGAGGCGCAGGGCAGCTGGCCGGGCCCCGCGGCAGCGGCGGCTCACGCTGTTGGCGTTGCCGAATCGCATGCGCGTGCGCTGCTGCTCGTTCAGCCGCTCCACAATCTCCTCGGCCTCGCTGCCCGCGGCTGCCGCCGCCAGCTTGGCGCTGAACTTGGCGATGCCAAAGTCGATGATCTTGAACTGTGGGTGTGGAAGGGGGCGCGGCCGGGTGCAGGTGGACGAGTGTGCAGGTCTGGGGATGCAGAGGCTGTTTGGAAAAAAGCATGGCCCACCCAGGGCGCTCACACTCACCTCCAGCTGCGGCCCCAGCGGCAGCCGCGAGCCGTCCGCGTTGCAGCTGTAGCCGGGGAACTGCTTGGCCTTGGCCTTGGCCTTCTCCCCCTCCTCAGCCGGCAGCTGCTCCCAGATCCTGCGGCCAGCCAAGGGCCAGGGACGACGGCGGGCAGCGGCCTTTAGTGCCCAAATGCAGGCGGCAGCCAGCAGCGCAGCTTGATGGCACGCTCGCCCACAGCGCAGCCTGCCACAAACACCCAGCCACAGCCCCAGCCTCAGCGCCAGAGCAGCTCCCAGCCCGACTGCGGCCGCAGCGCAAGCCCCACTGCGGGTAGTGCTCCATAATGTTGCGCATGCCCAGGTCGGCGTGGTGGAAGCCGACCTTGCGCTGAGCACGGTCCAGCGCCGAAAAGCTCTGCACATGCATGCGGTGTGTCTGGGTGTGTGGTGATGGGGGCGAGCGAGCGGGCGGGACGCCAGGAGCGTGCGTGCCAGCCAGCAGCATGCGCACCACAGCAAGGCAGGCGCCTAGCCGGGCGCCGCCCCCCCCCACCTGGAACAGCATCTCCCGCACGTAGTGGATGTTGTGGAACTCGGGCACGTCGATGCGCTTGTACACCTCAAACCCTGCTTGGATGCGGATAGGAGCAAGCCAAGATGGCTGGGGGCATCCAGCGAGCGGAGGCGACCAGGGCACCTGCCCACGCCATCGCCGCGCCTCCGCCTGCCCTCGCTAGTCCAGCCAGCCCTGCCATGCCTCCGTGGCAGGCCCGCCCCGCTGGCCGCCGCTCTGCCAGAACCGCACCAAACAAGCATGCCGAGACAGCCGGGCAGCTGGCGCCCACCGTGCAGCTCCTCCATGAGCATGCCGCTGAAGTGCTCCTGGCCGTTCTTGCCCGCAATCAGGCAGTCTGCCACCTTCATGAAGCCGGGCACCTGGCCGCCGGGCTGCTGCAGCGCGGCGCGCAGCTGCGGGGCGGCGGGTGGGGAGGAGCAGGCGCAACAAGGAGGGAGTTGGCCGTGAGGTGCGCAGCCACAGCGGAGCGGCCAGACGCGCGTGCGGCGCCCGGCGCCGGCGCCGGGGCTGCGCCCGGCGCATGAGGCACGCCTGCCAGCGCGGCCCCCTCCCCCTTTTACCGCACACAGGCACGCACCCGGCCCGGCCCCTGGCCACGCCTGCTTCCCCGCCTCTCCCCGCCTCTGGCTCCACGAGTGCGCTCCCTGGCGCCGCACCTGCGTGCCGACCTCCCACTCTCGGTCCATGCCCACCCACAGCACATTGTTGTTCAGCATCTTGGAGCCCAGGTCACCGTGGTTGACCTTGATGACCTTGCCGATGGGGCTGCCGTCGTCGTGGGCCAGCTGGAACACCTTGGCCTGCCGCAGAGGCGGCGCGGGAGGTGCACGAGGGGGCGGCACGGGAGGCGGCGGCGTCAGAAGCCTTGGAGGGAAGCCGTGGGGGCCAGCCGAGCCGCGTGGCCAACGCGGGTGCTGGGTGCCATTGCGCACGCGCAGGCGGCCAGGTGTGCTCAGAGATCCCGCCGCCATGGCGCTGCAGCAATGCCATGCAAGCCAAGCCGGCTCCACCTTGTAGCAAAAGGAGTTTGGCGGCGGGCCGAGCACCCACCTGCGCGCCTGCCCCCAAGAACTTGCCCAGCCGCACGCCTTTCCACAGCTGGGAGCCCTCCTTCATGGTGTACTCGGCGGGCATGAGGATGGCGTACGTGGAGGTGTCGTCCTCATCCTCCAGGTGCTCCACAAGCGACTTGTGGCCTGCGAAGGGCAGGGACGGGCGGCGGCGGCGGCGGCGGCGGCATGGGCGGAGTGTGCTGGTGGGCGGCCGCGGCGGTCCCGCGCCGCATGGACCCGAAGGCAGGCGTTTGTGCGGTGCGACCGGGCCCAAACGAGGGGCAGCGGAGGCAGAATTGCAGCCAGCACACACCGAATCTGGGCTGCACACGGTGTGTAGCAGCTTTTCAGGTTCAGTGCAGCATCTGACGTGCCTGATGCAGGGATCGACACCTTCTCTGGCGCGCCGAGTTCTTCATGGGCCGCCATCCTCCGCTCGCCACAGAACGCTTGCGAGCAGAGCGCTTGCGAGCAGATCAAGCGCTGCTCAAGTAGGAGGAGGTCCCCACAAATAAGTGTGAATAGGGGGGGAGCATGGCACCGAACGGCCAGATGAAATACAGAGCAGATGACCTAAGCCCAGCTGGCAGTGAAAAAAACATCCAGATTTGCTGGCTCTCGGCCTTGAGAGGCATGCCAGAATCATAGGTGCAGCTGCCGGGGCATGCAGCAGCGCTCCAGTGTGGGCTGTCGGTGCCTGCCGCCCACCCGCCCCCGCTTGGCTGGAGGCCGCCTGACCCCAGTCGTTGCACTACCACGATTGAAATGCAGTGCGCAGAGTGTCAGAGATAATTCGCACGCCAGCAGCAGGTTTCTGCCATGGCAGAGCCTGGGGCCTTGTGCGCCAGGCAAGCCCGCCGCCACTGCCATGTGTGGTGTGCTGAAGCGCTCGAGCTTGTGAGCGGCAGCAGGCAGGGGCTATGGAGATGACAGTGTAATACAAAGTGCACTAGGGGTGTACTAATAGTTCACCACTGGTCACGAAAGGATGGGGGCCCACAGGGAGCCGTGGGCGCCGGCGCTCTGCACCCGCGCCCAGCAGGGTGGCCTGTCAGTCGTACAATTTGCTAGCATTTGGTCTCTTCCTTCTTCTTCTTTCGTCGATTTCATTTCTGCCGTTCTCAAACGGGCGGGCAGTGGCTAAAGCGGCAGAACCCAGTTGCCCTCCCAAGGGGAAGGTGGCTAATTTGCCCAAACACCCTCCTCGCTTAGCCGGCTGCAGCCCGAGCAGTCACAGTCGCGTGCATACCTGCCTGCTCAGCCATGGGCTGCGCCAGCAGGTGTGTGTGTGGCGTGGCCTCCGCTGCCGCCGCCGCCGCCGCCGCCCTCGAGCCGCATGTCCCCCCACGCCCACCACTGCCGGCAGGGTTAGCGGGTTCGGCCCCAGCACATTAATGTGCCTAATACCTGTAAAACACACACACACACCACTGCCTGCAGAGCGCTCAGCAGCCACAGCGTCGCCATCGCGAGCGGAGCAGGAGGAGGCGGAGGGGGCAACCACTGGCACATCGCGCCGCTGCACTGGGCGGCCTGGCAGGGGGATGCCGCCCGGGTGTCGGTGCTGCTGGCCACGGGGCGGGCAGACATCGAGGAATTGGACGAGCAGGACAGGGACGGCTGGTCGGCCCTGCACTTTGCCGTCCGCGGGCGCAGCGCCGCCTGCCTGGACCTGCTTCTGGGCGCCGGGGCCGACCCCGGCCGCCGCGACGCGGCGCACGGCACCCCCCTCCACCTGGCCGCCGCGGCCGGCAGCGCCGAGTGCGTGGCGGCGCTGCTGCGGCGCGGGGCGTGCCCCGCGGTGGAGGGAAAGGACGGGCGCACGCCCCTGCACGAGGCCGCCATGCGCGGGCACGCCGGCTGCGTGGCGGCGCTGCTGGCCGCGGGCGGGACCCGCACGCTTGGCATGAAGGACGGCCACGGCAGCACGGCGGCGCAGTATGCGGAGCAGCACCTGGCGCGGCTGCAGGCAGCAGAGCAGCGGGCGCCCTACCAGCAGCCGGCGGACAGGCTGCGGGATGCCCTTGAGGCGGCAGCTCTCCTGCGCAAAGCAGCAGCGGGAGCAGGCGCACGTGAGGCGGAGGGGGCACCAGCGGCGCCGCTCGAGGCGGCGAGGGCATGCAGCAGCCCCGCCCTGCCAGCCTCTACCATGGCATGCACGTCCAGTGCTGCCAGCCGTGGTTCCAGCAGCAGCGGCGCCGGCACCTGCACCCCCGACGGCACGTCTGAATCGCTCAGCTGGGAAGCAGGCAGCGATGCTTCCGATTCAGGCAGAGGCCTGTCAGCTGCGGCGGCAATCGAGGCTGTGGTGGCAGCCGGGGTTCTGGATGGCGGCGGCAGTAGCGGCAGGTGGCGGCAGTGCTGGGTGTGTCTTGAGCAGGCTGGGGAACTCATGGGTTTGGTGCCCTGCGGCCACCGCATCTCCTGCTCGCGCTGCACCCGCCGCCTGTTGAGCTGGCAGGCGGCCCCCCCGCCAAGATGCCCAGTGTGCAGAGCGCAGACAAGTGCCCTGCTGCCTGCTGCCCTGCCCTGGGAAGCCAGCTGTCCCTTTGTCACAACGAGCCTGGCGGCAGCCTGCCAGCACTGCCCTGCCGTCACGTGGTCGCAGCTGTGTATGCCTGGAAGGGTTGCATGCTATGCTACATGGAAGGTGGATAGGGCTATGCTATATGGAGTTGCAAGGGAGTGTGCTGCCTGCCGGCTGGTAAGAAAACTGGACAGAGGATGGGTGGGGGAATTCAACGGGGAGGGAAGGGCATGTGTTCGGGCCCATGGCACCAGTGCAGCTTGGGAAGGCCGCGGCAGAGGGAAAACCAGGGTGCGATGGTGGGGAAAAAAGCCTGGGAGCAAGGTGGCATGGTATCGTGTGCACTGACGCACTTTCATTGTTTCAGAGGGGGGGTGAATGAAATGGGGACGTCATGAAACGGGGAAGCTGCATGCCTGCAGCACATCGCTGTCAACAGTCGAAACTTTCAAGGGGAGGTTGAGTTCATCACTTCTGCGGCAGGCTGCTCCGCACGCGGCGCCATGCTGGGCTGCCAGCTGGCGGTGCCTGCCTGCCGAGCTTGCTCCTTTGCTGCCCAGGCTGCGCACTGCAATGCTGCGGCTGCCTTTGGGCAAGCCGCAGCAGCGCTAGGCAATGCTCAGCGGGCAGGCATCCAGGAATCAATCATTGCATGGAAGCCGCCGCAGCTGGTGCCGCCACCGGGAACATCTGGCCCAGATCGGCCGGAACGGCGGCGTGGGTCACAGACGGGCTGCCTCGCGAGAAGAAAGGGTGGGAGAGCGCCTCGCGCGCCAGCAGGCCAGAGCTGCAGCAGATGGGGCACGACAGGCATGAGTCAGACATTCTCCTGCCGAGCGGCCAGAAAGCGGCTGCCCGCTGCCGGCCCAAGCCGTGCCTGCTGCCGATTTCAGACTCACTTGTAAGGCTTGGCGTGCGCCTTGATCCTGCAGGGGGATGCAGGGGGAAGACAGAAGCACACGGGCGCTCAGGTCAGCAGTGCAGGCGATGGCCGCTGATCCAGGCAGGAGAGCTGCTGAGGCAAGTGCCTTCCCGGCAAGCGAGGCGCATCAGCAGAGCAGGGCGGCGGCGTGCCTGATGGCCCATCTCTTGAACCAGTGATGCCACTTGCCCCACCGCCCAAACTCGTAGCTGCAGTCTGAGTCATCGCCGGCCACCTGCGGCCTGCCCACGCAGCCGCGCAGCTTGCCAAACCGCCGCCGCTCGGGGCCCTCGCCCTGCTCCGCAAAGCTGGCCTTCAGGCGGATGCCTGCGGCAGGCGAGGCGGGGGACGGCAAAGGCGAGGCAGGCGGGGAGTCAAAGCTTGCAGCAGGTCCTGAGCCAGGGCTAGGCGCATCGCAGAGGGCCAGCCAGCTGGGCCAGCCACAAGGTGGTGGGCACGCTCCCAGCTGACCAGCGCAGGCACCAGCTGGCGCCAGCTGGCGCCAGCACGCACCTGTGACGTGATGCACCAGCGAGATCAGCGCCTGCACCTCGGCTATATCCTCCTGCGGCCACACCCTGCAGGAGGTGGGGAGGAAAGACACGCTGAGTATAAGGCACAGAGGGAGCGCGGACATGTCCGGTGTTCGCATGTGGCCACACAGTTGGGAGGGGCATGCCCCGTCGTCTTCCGGGCCCGATCACCACTCCGCACAGCAGGGGCGCCCCACCTGTCGTCCAGCGCCAGCGCAATGCCCAGCAGCAGGTGGAACACGTCGCCCTTGCGGTGCCAGAAGTGCCTGTGGGTGGCAGCCGGGGGCGCAGGCTAACAGCCATGAGAGGAAGAGCATACATGTACGTGTCAAGAGCAGTGGGCTGTGAGAGGCTGTACTGCCTGATACCCATTTGAGTGTACAGTACCGCCTCAGTACCTCACCTGTACATCGTCTCGATGGGGCTCTTCTTCTTGCGCTGCAGCGACTGCATGTGCCGTGCTGCAGGAGGGAATCCAGGCGGCAGGCAGCGGGCACACCACGGCTCAGCTGGCATCATGCAAGCCGTGCTCAAGCGAGTCAAGCCACAACTGAGCTCCCCAGTACTGGTGCCGCCTCCAGCAGCCTGCCGCAGCAAGGCTGCCACCTGCTGCTCGGCGCACCTGATGCCAGCGCCTCGGGCGGCGGGCTGGTCGCCGCATACCGCTCCGGCCGCCGAATCTCCTCGTCCTGCTCCTCTGCTGTGGACGAGCGGCCCGCGCGAGGGCTGCTGCCGCGGCTGCCATGCCGGCTGCCGCTCAGCCCGCCGAAGCAGGCCATCCTGACCTTGATCTGCAAAGGCGAAGAGAGGGAGCCGGGGTGGAGTGGCGGCATGAAACCAGGGCTTCCAAGGGACACCGCCTACCCAATGGGCAGGGCAGGGCAGAGCAGGGCAGGGCAGAGCAGAGCAGAGCAGAGCAGAGCAGAGCAGAGCAGAGCAGAGCAGAGCAGAGCAGAGCAGAGCAGAGCAGAGCAGAGCAGAGCAGAGCAGAGCAGAGCAGAGCAGAGCAGAGCAGAGCAGAGCAGAGCAGAGCAGAGCAGAGCAGAGCAGAGCAGAGCAGAGCAGAGCAGAGCAGAGCAGAGCAGAGCAGAGCAGAGCAGAGAGCATGGGATGTACAGGCAACAGCTGCTGGTGCGCCGGCAGTGGTGGCACTTGCCTTGGGAGGGCTCTTCCTGCGGCAGCGGCACAGCCTGGCCATCCAGCCGCACTGCCCGTCTTCGCTGCTCTCTGACCGAGTCTCCATTTCGATGCTCGCCATCTGTGGGCAGGCAGGACAGGGCGGGACAGGGCAGGGCAGGGCAAGGGAAGGGAAGGGTGGGGAAGCGATGGGACAAGCTGAGCCTCAGCTCGCCATTCTCTCCCACCATGCACAGCACCGCCGGTTGCTGGCAGCAGCGGCCCGCCGGCCCGCCAGCCCAGGCCCAGCCTGGCCCCACCTTGCGCTCATTTGAAAACAGCAGGCGCTTGCCGGTGCCAAACATTTCCTGCAGCTGCGCCATTGTCTCCTGCATGCGTGGGAATGCATGGCAGCAGCAGCGAGCTGTCGAGCTGTCTGGCAGGTCTGGTCAACCGGTGGCTGGCTGCTGGAGGCAGGGGGCAGGCGCGCATCACACCAGCGCCCGGGCCTGCACACACCTGCGACTCGCGCCCGCCTGCCGCCTGCGCCAGCTTCTCGCTGAACTTGGCGATGCCGAAGTCGATGATCTTGAACTGCAGCAGCGCTAGGTCAGCAGCAGCGCCAGGTCAGCAGCAGCGCCAGGTCAGCGCCCAGGGCGGGAAGCAAACTAGAGGCACAGCCGCCGGCTGGCTGGGCTGGGAAACACAGCCGTGTGGCTTGAGGCGGATGGCGCTGCTGCCGCAGTTGGCATGTGCTTCGGCAGCGGCAGCGGGCAGCTGCCGGCCCGCCAGGACCCACCTCTATGTCCGGCCCCAGCGGCAGCCGGCTGCCATCTGCGTTGCAGGTGTAGCCTGGCCGCACCGGCACCTCCGCCCGCGCCCTGGCCCAGCCCGGCACCTGCTCCCAGGTCCTGCAGCGGCACAAAGGACGCAGGGAGGAAGCACGCTCATTGCGTGGGAGACGTGCCATGCATGCCAAAAGGAAGACCACACAATATTGGCATGCTGGAAGCGGGAGCGCGTGCGTGCGCGCCAGCCTGGCTGACGGCCGCCGCACCGCGGGTAGTGCTCCATGATGTTGCGCATGCCCAGGTCGGCGTGGTGGAAGCCGAGCTTGCGCTGAGCACGGTCCAGCGCCGAGAACACCTGCAGGCGTGGCGGGGAGGCGGGCACTGGTCGAGTGGGAGCAGCAGCAGAGCGCACAACACAGCAGCGCAATGTTGCGCCCAGGCAGCCGGCAGTTCGCACTGGCGCCCAGCCAGGCGCGGCCCCCCACCTGGAACAGCATCTCCCGCACGTAGTGGATGTTGTGGAACTCGGGCACGTCGATGCGCTTGTACACCTCCCAGCCCTGCAGCTCTCCCATCACCATGCCGCCGAAGCGGGCTCGGGCGCTGGGCGAGGCGTCCCGGTGCAGCACGCAGTCGGCCACCAGCATGAAGCCGGGCACGGCACCGTCGGCCTGCTGCAGCGCGGCGCGCAGCTGCGGGGCGGCGGGGAGCACGAGGGAGGGCACGAGGGCAGGGTCAGTGACCGGGGCGCCTCTTCTACTCTCCTCCACGAAACGAGAACGAGGCATGGCCGGGTATGCCAATGCACGGGACACAGGTCTGCATGCGCGTCGCCGCAATGCGCGTTGGGCGCCGCATTTTGCACGCGCGGCGCCGCATGCCCCCTGGCCTGCCGCCGCCGGTGCCGCACCTGCGTGCCGGTGCGCCACTCCCGGTGCATGCCCACCCACACCATGTCGTTGTTCAGCATCTTGTTGCCCAGGTCCTCGCGGTTGACCTTGATGACCTTGCCAGTGGGGGCGCCGTCGTGGCGTGCCAGGCGGTACACCTTGGCCTGCGGTACAAGGCAGGGCAGGGGGCGGGGTGGGGATGTGGTGGGCCGCGCTCAGCGCCCCAGGGACTGCTGACACCAGCCTGACTGGCCCATTCTCAGTCTCGACTGGCCTAGGGGAGACAGGTCAGCACGTGTTGTGCATGCAGAGCGTGGCCGCAGCCAGCCGTGGCGGCCGTTCCCTGGCTGCCGCCGCTTCCCGCCCTTGCCTGCCAGGGCAGTGCCCGCCCGCTCCGGAACCCACCTGCATGCCAGACCCCAGCAGCCGGCCCAGCTTGACGCCGTCCCACAGCTCGGAGCCCTCCCGGAAGTGGTATCCGTGCGGCAGCAGGATGGCGGAGATGGCGGAGTAGTCATCTGACTCGAGGTGTTGCACCAGGGACTCGCCGCGCTCTGCACGGCGGCGGCGCGAGAGCGGGGAGGTGGGGGGCGGGGGGAGCGGAGAGCGGGCATGATCAGGGGCAGGCTCAGTGCCACGCTGTGGCCGCGTGTGCAGACAGAGATGCAGCATTTGCACTTGGGATGATGGAGGCCCATTGTGGTGACCATAGCGTGCTGTGGCTGCGGCAGGTTGGGCACAGCGCCAGTGGCAGCGGCGGCGCCACCACCGGCACCTTCCAGCAGTGGCATTTCCGCCCTGCAGGGCGCCGGGCCGTCCCCCCACGCCCTGCCGACAGCCACTGGCCTTGTTGCAAGGGGCTGCGCGAGCTCCGAGGTGCTGCCATGGAGGGCCCCGACAGGTGCGGCCCCGAGGTGCTGCCAGCAGGCTGCAAAGCGTGGTTGGCTCCCGTTTTCGCCCGAGCAGCAATGCCTCACCTATTCTGAGCCCAAGGCACGACTGCAGGCTGCCGGGGCTGTCAGACCCTGACGAGCGCGACGACATGGGGGATGCGGGTCAAAGGGAAACAGCTTAGCGGTCGTTGGGCAGCATTATTGACGCCCGGGTTGCTGGGGGCAATCGTTTGATAGCACCGCAAGTCCGTGACAGACGTCTCCATCATCCACCCAAATCGTTATGTCAACCAGATGCACCCCAGCTGGCGGCGCTGTCGCCGCCGCCGCCGCCGCTTGCTTCCCCTCGGCCTGGCAGGGCGCACACTGAAGTCCTGTAGTATGCACACTCCAAAGAAACCAACGTTGGGGCATTTACAACTCAGGGGAGGCGACCTCATGGCGCAGAGAGGTGCATGCACGGCGCACTCCTGCCTTCCCACCTTGCTGCTCCGGCACCTGCACACACCTGCGCCACGCGCACCAGCAGCATCGCTTGTTCACTTGTTGTTACAGAGAGATGAGCCGCAGCGGATCGCCCGCCGGGTGGCGGGGTGTAGAGCGGTACAGTCGCAGCACATGCTGCGGTAAATGGCGGCGGGGCGAGCCAAAAAGTGCAGGGGCAGTATTGCGGTGAAGGGGCCGAGGAGGGAGGAAAAGGCGAGTAGTATAGGAAAGGGTGTGAGGTGTGTGATGGGGTAGCGGCTACTGGTCTAATGTGGCCCCAACAGGGGGGCCCGCCTGCGGCGGGTGACAAAACATGAGGTGGGGGATGAATTGGCTCACGAGGGCGGCCGACAGTGAGCAGGGTTGAATGGGTGGCGATGCGGGCAGTGTGCAGAAGCGGGCCAGGCTGGCTGGAGACAACTACCACGCCTCCAGCTGAAGGCACACGCATGGCCGCTTCCCGGCGAGGAGGCGGGGCGCAGGCTGGGGGCGAGCAGCGCGGCAGGTCGAATGGGCGCCGCTGGCATGGGGAGAGAGAAAGCAGGACATGGAAATAATATGCCCCCAGTGGGTGGCGCTGCACAGAGAGGGGCGTGGCGGAGAGGCGGGGCGCGGGGACAAAACCGAGGCGGCGGGGCAGCGGGGCTGCACAGGAGGGGGTGGTGGGGGCTGGCACGCCAGCAGCGAAGAGGGCTCCCAACAGCGCAGCGGGCTCTCGCCCCTGCCGCCAAATCACGGGGTGCCGGGGTTGCGGCCTGGCACAAAGGCGTGGTGGTGTCCGGGGGTGGCTCCGGGCCACGGGGCGGGCTGGTCAGGGGGCGGCGGCGGGCACGGCGCCGCTCGACTGGCCGGGGCCCAGGCTCAGCGACACGCGGCCCTCCTCCCAAGCTTGGAACAAGGACTGGAGGTCGTGGCTGACTGTGGGCAGCGCCCCCATGTGGCCAGCCAGCGACAGCGAGGGCAGCCCCAGCAGGTCGAACGACAGCTGGTGCCCGCTGGGCAGCTTGCGTGGCAGCGCCAGCGGCGACACCGTGGGCTGCTTGCTGGGCGGCGCCAGCGGGGGCTCGGGCGGCGGCGCCGCTGCCGGCGCCGCCGCCTTGGCTGCAAACGGGTTGGCCGGCGGCCCCGGCCGCGGCTCCGCCGCCGCCGCCTGCGGCGAGCCGACGGCCAGCGCGTCGTTGGCAAAGGGGCTGGGGTGCACCTGGCGGGGACCGCAGGCGGAGGCAAGGTCACAGGCCGACACGGGGCCCGACACCGCGCGCTGCAGCTGGGAGGGAGGCTCGGGGCCCGCCGGCCCCGGCGCCTGCTGTGGCGTGGGCGCCGCCGCCTGTGGCTGCTGCGCCGCCTGCTGCGCCGCCTGCTGCGGGCGGCTGCCGCCGACCAGGAACATGGTGGCAGCGGGGCGCTGCGCGGTGGGTGCCACCAGGCGCTGCGGCGGCTGCGCCCCGGCCAGGCCCTCCTGCTGCTGCTGCTGCTGCGCCAGCTGCTCAAACTGCTGCTGCTTGGCCTGGTACTGCCGCTGCTGGTCCTCGTAAAGCTGCAGGAAGGAGCGGGGGGGCGGCGCCGCCCGCGCCTGCTCGCCGTCCGCCGCCTGCTGCTGCTGCAGCTGGCGCAGCAGCAGCTCGGTGCTGCTCAGCGCCTGCAGCTGCCCCAGCCCGGTGCTCAGCGCCTGCAGCTGCCCCAGGCCAGTGCTCAGCTGCTGCAGCTGCCCCAGGCCGGTGCTAATCTGCTGCAGCGGCGGCATGTGCTGTTGGGCTTGGTGCCACGCGGCGCCGGGCGACTGAGGCGCCTGCTGCTGCTGCTGCTGCAGCAGCAGCGCCTGCATCGAGGCGAGGGTCGGGTGCACAGGCTGCTGGCCGCCCCAGGCCTGCAGCGCCGCCAGCTGCTGCGCCTGCTGCAGCTGCTGCTGGTGCTGCTGGTGCAGCAGCTGCTGCTGCACCTGGGCCTGCTGCTGAGCCTGCTGCCACGCGGTGCTGCTTGCCGGCGGCGGGCCCCAGCCCGGCGGCAGCTGCAGGCCGCTGCGCTGCTGGGGAGGGGCAGCTGCCGAGGGCCCCAGGCTGGCCCATTGCTGCGGGGCCGCGGGCGGTGGCGCTGCCGAGGGGTCCAGCGTGGTGCGCCCATCTGGCTGCCACACTAGGATGGCGGGCTGGCCCGTCTGCGAGGGTGGCTGCGGGGGGCCCGCAGCGGCCGCCAGGGCTGCTGCGGCTGCGGGCCCCAGGCCGAGGTGGGAGTACGCCTGCGGCCCCCACTGCTGCTGCTGCTGCTGCTGCTGCTGCTGGCGGTGCTGTGCTGCCGCCGCTTGCTCCGCCAACGCAGCCTCTATCTGCTGCTGCAGCCAGGGCGGCAGCGGGACGGGCTGCCCCCGCTCCCCCATTGCCGCAGGCACCTGCGCCGCGCCCGCGCCGCTGCCGCCCTGGCCGGCCGGCACCACCAGGGACATCGGCGGCGCGGCCACGACCGCGGTCGGCGCCATGCGCGGCGCCGGCGGGCCGTAGCCGCCGGTCGGCCCCAGGTGCGCAAAGCTCTCGCCGCCAATTGTCTCAGGGAAGGCCTGCCTCGGGCGCTTGGGGCCCGCCCCGGCGCCATCCTGAGCAAGCGCCTCCTTGCCACCGTGCTCCCTCCGCTTGCCGCTCGCCCGCTTCGCCGGCTTGCCCTCGCTGTCGCTCAGGCCATCGCCAGACTCGCCATCGGCGTCGCTGTCGCCCCAGCGGCGCGTGGCGGCGGCCGCCGCGCGCCGCATCGGCCGCCCGTTGCTCCCCAGCATTGGTGGCGCGGCGGCATCGCCGCCGTCGGCCACCGCCGCCACGGCCTTGGGCTGCGGCGCCTCCCGCTGCTGCATCCACTCAGGCTCCCACCGCGTGTCCAGGCCGATGGCTGCAGGCAGGCGGGCAGGGGCGGCGGCAGGGGCGTGTGAGTGCGGCGGGACAACCGCGGGACAAGCGGCGCTGTTGCGTAAGTACCATCGCAGGACCGGGTGCGACCCGCCAAAATCGACTCCCGCGCAGGCAGCAGATCATCTGCCTGCGGTGCGCACCTAGCAGCAGCTTGCCGCGCATCCATTCTGCAGGCAGCACAGCGCAGGGAGGAGAGTGGGCAGCTAGTTGGGCGGCGCAGAACGGCGGCTGCGGGACGGCGGGCTCGGCAGGGCATATGCTGCCCCTTGCACTGCCACCAGGACGCAAGCTGGCGCCGATGGGATGGCATCGGGCGCAGCAGTGGGGCCGGCGGCTGGGCGAGTCGGGCACGTCATGCAAGGTGCGGCTGGGAGGCGGCGCGGCAGCGGCGGCGGTCATGGGGAGCAGGCGGCCAGGCTCACTGTTGTTGCAGCTGACGGTGCGAGTCTTGTAGACCTTGATGAAGAGCTCCCTCAGCTCGCGTTGCCTGCGGGAAAAACAGCGGCCAGCGCGCGTTTCAGGCCTGCCCGCTTGCGCCCCCCACGAACCGCGCAAGGCGGGGGCGGCACCGGCGCCGCCGCAGCTGCCCTACAGCTTCTGCCATCCTCCCCCGTCGCCGCCGCCCCCCTGCCCGGCACTCACTGGAGGTCCCAGACAGCCATGCCCGCCTCCTCGGCGGGGATGTCGCCGAAATGGGCCCTGGCGGCCTCCTTGGCCTCGCTCGTCAACTCATACTTGAGCAGGTGGTGCTTGCGGCTGTTGGCCGAGCCAGACTTGATCTTCCGCGATGGAGGGGCTTCCTGCGCGGCCAGGGGGAGCGAATGAAGGCGGGGCGCTACCACAGCATGGCTCTCGCTCCCCGCCTCGCCAGTCTCCCGCCCTGCCCGCCCGACTGATCGCCGCTGCCTGCCAGGCTGCAGGCATCCTGTGGGTGCTGCGCCAGTGCAAGCAGGTGGACCCTCCATGCGCAGACGGCAGGTCCAGCAGCCCCGCTTCACGGCGGCCCCGTTTGTCTCTCACCCACCTGGCCCGGCAGCGTCTGGGGCGACGGGTCAGAGCTCTCCCCCTGCTCCTCGCTGTCCCCCATCGAGCCCGCTCTACACTCCCCGCCGTCCTCTAGAGCAGGCGCCGTGGCGACACATGCAGTAATGCTTGGGATGGAGCCCCTCGGGCCGCGCCGGCCAGTTGAACGATTTTGCATCGAAGTACCAGGGCGCCATGGTGGCGCCCCGCCACCGGCAGCTTCATGCCCAGCCCCTGCCGCCTCCCGAGCCCTCCTGCCCGCCCCTGCAGCTCACGCTTCGCCCCAACATCCATCCCCACCTGACATGTGAGGCAGACACAGCCTCAGCGCTTCCAACAGACGCTCAATGGGGCGGGTGGCCGCAGGCGAGTCTGCGCCCGCACCGTCCCGCTTCCCGCGTCTGCGCCCGCACGCTGCGGGCCATCTCTATCTAATCACATCCTGCGCATCATATCACCCTATCAGGAACGTGGGAACGCTTGCTCCACGCACACGGGAAGCTTGGCGTGCTGCACCCGCCCTGCGCCGAAGAACGGTGAGCACAGGGCCTCTGCCGCCAGCAGCCCCGAGTTGAAGGGTTTCATGTGGGCGCTCCACCTGCAGGCGCAAGCAGGGGAAGCCGGGCGGTTGGGGACCCAGGCGGCAAGCGCTGCATGCAGCGGCATGCAGCCAGACCTGCGGCGTAGCCGAGGCAAGCAGGCATCCCGTCCTGCCCCACCTGATGTGCATCCTCCGGAACCAGTGGCCCCTGCAGCAAGGCAGTCACAGCACAGGAGGATTCGTAGGGAAAAGGGAAGAGCAGCGCCAAATGCAGACGACCCAGTGGCTCCCGGCAGCGATGCTGCTGCCGCGAGGCGTGGCCAGGGCGCAACCACCAAACCAAGAGCTGCATCTCCTCACCATTTGCCCCACCGCCCGTAGTCCCTCAGGTTGGTGCCGACGCTGTGGTCCCTGCAGCCACGCAGGCACCGAGGAGGGCAGCTCAGTGCAGATCACGCGACATGAAGAACGGAGGGCTGGAGAGAGCAGGCTCCGGCGCGTGTGCAAGCTAACTCAGGGACAGCGGCTACGACGCCGGCACAGCAACTCACTCCTTCACCCGCGGCACCGTACCGCACGCCAGCCGCCCAAATAGGCTGCTGGATCCTCCCTCGCCCTCCGCCGCAAAGCTTGCCTTCATGCGCACGCCTGCAGCGACGAGCAGACGACAGATACAGGTGGCAGAGCTTGACTCCTGGCGGTGAAGGGTGTTAGGCAGGCAGTGTACCCATCTGCGTTGCCGAGGCGGCACGCTGCATGCACAGCCGGTGGTGGCGAAGCCGCGGCGCCAGCGCCCGCTGGCGGCAGAGCGCACCTGTCACGTGGTGCACCAGAGTGATGAACAGCTGCACATCCCGCTCGTCCTCCTTGGGCCACACCCTGCAGCCAGGCGCGGGGCAGGTGTTGGTGGCGGCGGTGTGAGGGGCTGGCGAGACTTGGCCGCGCACACGGGCCGCAGACGCCGAGGGGAGACGCGCCGCAGCGGCGCGCCTGGCGGGAGGAGGAGCAGAGGCGGCAGGCAGGCAGGCAGGCAGGCGGCAGCTTGTGCGTGCCTGTCGTCTAGCACAAGCGCCATTCCCAGCAGCAGGTGGAACACGTCTCCCTTGCGCTCCCAGAAGTGCCTGCAGGGCGGCAGCCACCGGGGGGAGCCCGTTGAGCATGCGCTGGCTGACGGACGGCGCCAGCCTGCACCAAGCCAACACAGCCGGCTGGCCAGCCCGCGAGCAGCCGCATGCCAGGCACGCCCGCTGTCGAGGGGGAGCCATGCTGCTGCCGCTGGCAGCCTCGGCAGCGGCTGCCGGAACCCCGCTCAGGCACCCGCTGCTGAGAGTAGCAAGCGCGCTGGCAGCCGCTGCCTGCGCGCCTGTACATCCTCTCGATCGGGCTCTGCTTGGGCGGCGGCGGCCGCGAGGCGGCGCGCTGCGGGTTTGGCATCCCCAGGCTGACGCCTGGAGCGGGGCGTGGGCAGACGCGGGGAGCATCAGCACAACACACACGCACAGCAGTGAAAGAAGAAGGGGCCGAGGGAGAGGACACGCCAGCAAAGGAGACGAGCAAGCCCTCTGCACAGTCCCGCCACCCTGCGCAATACTGCTCCCACCCCACCCACCGTTCACTTGGCCTCCCGGGCCCCCGCTCTGCCTCATGAGCTCCGCCGCCTTGGCCATCCCCTCCCCGGGCCGCCGCAGCAGCGTGGCGGAGCGGAAGCGCTGCGGCTTGTCGTCCGCGGCAGAGCCGCCGGCGCCGGGCTCTGGCACCGCCGCCAGCTGCTCCGCGGCTGCCGCCGGCAGGCCGTGTGCCTGCAGCGACTTGGCGCTGGTGAGGGGGGCGGCCCCTGCCGGGGTCTGTTTCACCCGAAACTGCGGGCAGGCAGCCGAGGTGGCGGCAGAACCAGGCAGTGTGGCCCCTTCAGCAGCCAGGCACCAGCGGCAGCACCTTCGCCCTACCAACCGCAGGGCAACGCCCGGCACGGGCCTCCAGCGGTACGCAGGCAGTCAAGGGGGTGAAGGAACAGCTAAACACGCCACCGGCGGCACCGCTGCCTGCTCTCACCCGGTTCTTCATGCCTGTGGGCAGCAGGTGCCAGGTCCTCCTCTTCTTGGCGTCGCTCGTCTCCATCTGGATCCCCTCCTTCTGCGGGGGGCAGGCATTTCGGCGGCGGGGGAGGTGACGCGAGGCGAGATGGGAGGCTTGCAGGTGGAGGGGGAGGCCCGCGCGAGGGCCGGCAAGCGGCGCAGGCCACAAAGGGAGAGCACAGCAGGAGCAGCAAAGCAGGCGACAGAGGGGAGGCAGAGGGGGTGGCCTCACGTGGGGCCCAAAGGTTATATGCTTGGCGGCAAAGATGTCGTTCAGCCGGGCCATCACCTCCTGCGGAGGTGGCACAGGAAGCCGGCACGCTGGCACAGCCAGTCAGCTGGGCAGGGAACGGAGCTGGATTGACAGCCTGCCCGTCTTTGCCTTGCCACAGCCCCGCCCATCCCAGCCCCCACCTCGGACTCGTAGCCGCCAGCCGCCTGCGCCAGCTGCTGGTCAAAGGCCGCCACCCCAAAGTCGATGATTTTGAACTGCATCGCCAGGTCAGCAGCAGCGCCACGTCAGCGGCTCCCACGCCAGCGCGCCCATGCAGCAAACACATGCGTCAGCAGCTGCCATGCAGAGGTGCGGGCGGCTGCGGCCCAGCTCCCCTCACGCTCACCTCCACGTTTGGCCCCAGCGGCAGCCGGCTGCCGTCGGCGTTGCAGCTGAAGCCGGGCTTGGGGCGCACCATGCCGCAGCTGCCCTGCGTCCTCTGCCGCCACCAGGGCTGCCGCTGGTCCTCCTCCTCACCTCCCGCTGCCCCCTCCTCCACCTGCTGCTCACCCGCCCCCTGCCTCTGCTCGCACACAAAGCAGCGGTCGCCTGGGCCCAGAGGCTTGCCGCCAGCCCCACCAGCCTGCACCACCATTGCGGCAGGCCTGCCGCCGGCCTGCCGTGCCGCCTCCTCAGGCAGAGCCCCGGTCGAGGCCTCGTAGCCCTCCGCCGCAGGGCCAGCGCGGCGCGAAGAGGAACCGCCGCCTGCCGCCACTCCCGCCGCCGCAGCCCGGTTCTGCGCGGCCTGCGACGCCCTCACCTCCTCCCATAGCCTGCAGCCGTCGCCAGGCAGCAGCCGCGAGCCACCGCATCAGCGTCAGGGGCAGGCAGGGGCAGAGAGAGGCGCATCGGAAGCACAGTACTAGTCACCACTGGCGCAGCCCACCCTGGCCGATGTGCCATGCAGTCACAAGGGAGCCTCCTGGCCTCCCAACCACATCATGCCCACCGCGGGTAATGCTCCATGACGTTGCGCATGCCCAGGTCGGCGTGGTGGAAGCCCAGCTTGCGCTGCGCGCGGTCCAGCGCCGAGAACACCTGCGGGCGTGCATGGGAAGCTTCTCCTTAATGGGGAGTGAAGAGGAGGGCAGGCGCTGGGCTGGGAGCCTTGCGTGCGTGCCAGCCAGCAGCATGCACAACACGGCGATGCATCCGGGCAGGCGCACAGCGGAGCCAAGCCCCCCACCTGGAACAGCATCTCCCGCACGTAGTGGATGTTGTGGAACTCGGGCACGTCGATGCGCTTGTACACCTCCCAGCCTGCCGGGGGGGGTGGGATGGGCGGGCAAAGGCATGAGAGGGGCAGGCATACATGGGATGGCCCGACCAGCACACACACCCGGCATGTGCAGCGCAGCGCAGTGCTGTCTGCGGCCTCGCCTCCACCTCAGCCACGCAAACCGAGCGCCACCCTCCGAGGGTGTCGATGTCGACAGTCCCTCCCACCCTGCTCACCGTTCAGCTTCTCCATGATCATTCCTGAGAAGTGCGCTTTGTCGATGCCGTCCCCGGCATCCCCGCTGCGCACCAGGCAGTCGCACATCTTCATGAAGCCGGGAAGCTTGCCGCCGGGCTCCTCCAGCGCGGCGCGCAGCTGCGCGGCGGCGGCGGTGGCAGAGAAGGGGGCTTTGCTAGGCGCTCAGGCGACGGGAATTGCGGAGGAGGCGGGGGCGCGGCTGCGCTGAGCGGCCTTGCGCAGGCAAGCGCTCCCATGCATGGCTGCCCCGCCTGGCGCCCCACCTGCGTCCCAATCTCCCACTCTCGCTCCATGCCGATCCAGATGAGATCGCTGTTCAGAATCTTGTGGCCCAGGTCTGCGCCGCAGAGCAGCAGCAGCGGGGTGGCAACGGGACAGCAGCAGCGGGGCAGAAGCGGCAGGAGGATGGGTGCACGTGGTGCACGCTGCGCTGTGGCAGCAGCTCTGGCCGGCTGCGCTGGCAGGGCCAGGCGCCAGGTGCCCCACCTGTGTGGCCGATCTTCAGCACCTTGCCTGTTGGCCTGCCGTCGCTGTGTGCCAGTTCAAACACCTTGGCCTGCAGCCCGGGGGGGGGCACCGCACGAGGCTGTGGGCCCACCGCACGAGGCTGGTGTGGCAGGGCGTGCCGGGACAACGAGCAGAGGCAGCGGCAACGGCGGCGGCGGCAGCGGCAGGCTGCTGCCACCTGTACGCCTGCGCCCAGCAGCTTGCCCAGCCGCACGCCGCCCCACAGCTCCTGCCCCTCCTTCATCGCATATTGCTTGGGCAGCAGGATGGCGCAGGTGGCCACCGGCTCCGCATCCTGCACGTCTGCCAGGTTGCCGCTGCCGCTGCGGGTGGTGCTGGTGGGCGTGCCTGCAGCCTTGGGGGGCACGTGAGCGGGTGGCAGGGCAGCCGGCCGCAGCAGCGGCACAGGCGCGGGCAGCCGCGGGCCCTGGAGCGGCGACGCGCGCCGGCCAGCGGGTTGCCTAGTCGGCTGCGCCTGGCGGCGGCCTCGACAGGCTGCCTTTCAACGCACTGACCTGGGTGATCGCTGAAGCTCGCATCCGTTGCGCCAGCCGCGCTGTTGGGGGGCGCTGGTTGCGCCCCAGCCATGGCGCCAGTAGCTGCGTCCCTAAATGAGGTCTGCTGGTATTGTTGTGCAGCTGCAGTGCGGGCCGGGAAAGAAGCAACTTTGCAAATGACGTGATCTGTGTGCAGGCCCGGTCCGAGACTCTGGTCCGCCGTGGCACCGCCTCGTCAGCATTCATATCGTTGCCCGCTCTATGAGAAACAGAACCGGCTCCAGACAGCTTCGACGCAGCGCTACAGGGGTCCGGCAGCCGCTCCAAGGATGGCCTCGCTCTGGGGGTGCGCCAGGGTGTGCGAGCTGAATTCAGAGCCTCAGCGCATGAACGCGACGGATTTGGATGCGGTGCTGCAGGCGGCGCGCATGACGGCCTTTCCTGCCGCCGCCCCTGCCGCCGCCGCCGCAGGCGCCAGCGCCACCCGCATGAGGTGCCCCAGGACAGCCCAGACCTGGCCTATGTCATGAGCTTTGTCACCAGCGTGGGAGGCCTGTCAGGCAAGGTCCTCCACAGGGTCGAGCCACAGGGCGGGCCGATTGGCGCAGCTTCCGCCGACTGGCTCGCGAGCCTGCCGCAGAACCGCCACGCCGCCGCCACCGCCCCTGCCGCCTGCCCCGCAGCCTACTGGACGCGTCGCAGCGGGCTGGGCCTGCTGTCGGGGCTGGGGGTGGGCGCCAGCTTCGCGCTGGGCGGCTGGTGGCTGCAGACGGGCGACCCAGACAAGCATGAGATGGCGCACCAGATGTGCCTCATCGCCTCGGTGCTGTTTGGCGGCGCCATGGGCTACAGAGCCGGCTCCAACCCTTATGTGAGTTGGGGCCAGGGTGATGTGATTGTTGCACTTTGTGCATAAGATTTGATGATCAAGGCGTGAGCTTGTGGTGGAGGTGCTGGGGCTCGGGCTTATCGGTGGGAGCGAGCCTTGGTGGATGCCGCAGCGCCAGCCGGCCTGCTGTGCGCCCTGCCAAACCGCTGCAGGTGGGCCCCGGCGGCAGCATGCTGGCCGCCCTGGGCGGCGTCAGCAGCGCCTACCACCTGCGCAAGATGCTGGAGTGGCGCGGCTACGAGCAGAGCCGGGTTCTGGAGGCGGAGCAGCTGCTGCGGGAGTACCAGCACAGGCACCCAGCAGAGGCGGCAGCCATGGCCGTGGGGCCTAGGGAGCCGGCCAGGCGGGGCGAGGGCGGGCGCGGCGGGCCGCAGAAGCCGGCCATGGGCCAGGCGCAGCACCAGGGCGGGGCGCCGCACCTCGACCGCCGCTCGCCGGTGCCGCCGGGAGGCTTTTGATCGATTTGAGCGTCGGCGCCGCTGACGGGGCGCCGCCCGCTTGGCGGCAGCCTCTTGCACAGGTCCGTGGCGCCCGCCCGTAAAGCAGTGCACTGCTGCCGAGTGCTGTAACCACAACTCGCGTTCTCCTGCGTAATCGGGAAGCCCGTTGATTGGCAGGGTTCCACCCATTTGCAGAGTGGTGCCTCAGGTACCCGGCGCTGCTCATGATTGCATGTATATGGGGTGATGATCTCGCAGAAACGATCGCAGACGCTCCGGTGGTGGCGCGACACCGGCCAAACTGCGACACTGCAACGCCACGCCTGCATAGCGCTCGTGGTGCTGTGCCGCACTATTGTGGCGCGGCCCTCTGCGGTGGCTGCGACACAGGCCCCACCCCGGCCGCTGCCTGCCAACCGGTGGCGGCACACCTCCCGCCGCTGCCCTGCCCTCTATACACCCACTGTCGCCTGTGCATCCGCTGCAGATTTGTCCGGCGCAAGCTCCAGCCTCGCCGGCTGAGGTGCCGAGCCGCTGGTGGCACTCGTGATCCTCCCCGGCTGCCGCCGCGGCGGCTAGGCTGCCGACGCCCCACGCAGCATCCGGCCGCCTCCCGCAGCCGGCCGCGGGATGATGGTGCGCAAGCGCGACAGCTCCACGCTGCGCCTTCTCATCACCCTGATCCACTTGTCTGTGTGGGCCCAGCTGGGGGTCGTCACCCGCGCCTTCCTGGGCAAGTTCTTCATCCTGGGATGCGGCGGCGGCTGGGGGCCCTGCCTGGCAGGTGCGCACGCTGCAGGCCGCGCCGCGACCGCCGTCGCCGCCGCCGCCGCCGCCGCCCGCTCAACGCCACGGCCGCGCAGGCAGCCCACCCTTCACGCTGCCGGGCACGCACATAAGCTTCCACATCGCGCCTCCACTTGGAATCGCTGCGCCTCGAGCGCGCCCGCTACCCAGCTGACGACTCGTACCGCCACCCTACTGCCCACTTGTACCGCCCCCGCAGGCAGCCTGTACTTCAAGGACCTCCCCTCCAACATGCTGGGCTCCTTCATCATCGGCCTCTTCGCCGCTTCCTCCACCCTGGGCCTGGCGGTAGACAAGGCGCTGGCGCTGCTGCCCAAGGGCCACCCCTGGCAGTCCAACTTCGAGCTGCAGATCGGTGGGCTGGTGGTTGCTGGGCCGCGCTGGGCTGGGTTGGGCCCCGCTGGGCCGCGCTGGGCCATGCTGGGCTGCGCTGGGCGACGCTGGGCTGCAGATGAGCGGTTTGTGCTGGGCTTCTCTGGGCCGGCTGCGCCCTGTTGGGCTGCTGCGCCCGCTGCGCCCCGCCGCACCGCTTGGAGAGCAGGGCCCTCCCCACTGCCGCTGTCCCATGGGCTGGGCGGTGCCCCGCTGCCATCCTTCCTCCAACTGCCTTCCTGCCTGCCTCCCTCCCTCTCTCCCTCCCTCCCTGTCGTCCGCACCCCCCTGCAGGCATACGCACCGGCTTCTGCGGCTCCCTCACCACCTTTGCCTCCTGGTTCCTGGAGCTCATGGTGCCAGCCATCCAGCAGAACCTGGTGAGAGGGGCAACGCCGGAGGCAAGGGCCCAGAGCGCAGCTGGCGCGCGCCGGGCTGGCGGTTTCGCGGTCCTGGCGGCGCGCCGGGCCGGGGCTGGTGCCGGGGTAGCGCGCAGCGCTGGCCGCTGGCGTTCGCTCCTCCCTGCCGGATCTCCGGAGGGCCGCCCTCCCAGCCCTGCGCGCTGATCCCCTGCTGCTGCCGCTCCCGTCCCGCTCCCGTCCCTCCGTTTCTGGGGCTGCAGTGGGTGGAGGCGGGCGCGGGGCTGCTAGTGGGCCTTCTGGCCGCCATCGGCTCATACAGCGCGGGCCTGCACGCCGCACTGGCAGTGGACAGGTGCGCCGCGGGTGGGGCCAGGCTGCCTTACAGCCTGATGCCCCGCACTGTGTGTGTCTGTGCCAGGCTGCTCGCGCAGCCCAGCGCGCGCGAGTCGCCGCCTCCCTTTTATGTGGCACTGCCGACTGGCTGAGGCTCAGCCCAGCCATTTCCGCCAAGGCGCCGTGCTGTGCCGCCCTGCGCCGCCGCTGCGGCGCCGCCCCATGCTGTGCGCTGCGGTGCCGTGTCACCGCTGGTGCCCACGGTACCGCAGGTGGCTGGTCGGGGAGAAGGATGTGCTGGAGCAGCTGGAGCGGTACCGCTCCTCCCAGATGCAGCACCTGGAGGGGCTGCGGCGGGACAGCGGAGAGCTGCCGCAGGAGGAGCTGATGCTGGAGGTGGGGGCAGGCCGCCAGCACCACCCGCCTTGCTGCGCTGCGCTGCGCTGTGCTGCGCTGCGCTGTGCTGGGCTGGGCTGCCCTGTGCTGGGCGGGGCGGTGCTGGACTGGGCGGGGCTGGGAGGGGGCTAAGTAGCCTGGCCGGGGCCGCCCATGGGGCTGTGTTGGCCTGAGCCAGGCGTGCTGCAGCGCCAGCATTAGCTTCGCCGGCCTCGTGGCGCCCGCTGCTGGCGCCCGGCGCTGCCCGGCGCCGCGGTGGCCCCCACCCCATGCCTCCCACTGTGCTGGCTTTTTGCAGGCGGAGCCCGACCTGCCTCGCATCATCACTCACGAGCCTGCCGAGCTGGTTGAGATGCACCGCAAGCTGCACCAGCTGGATCCGCCGCCAGCGGATGGCGGCATCGCCGCCGACGGCGCGGCGGCGGACGCCGAGGCGGCGGCGGACGCCGCGGCGGGCAAGGGCGGCAAGGGTGGCGGCGCAGCCGCGGCCGCCGCGCACCAGGCCGGCGGGCAGCCGCCGCAGCGCAACGGTGGCGTGGGCGCCGGCGCGCCCGGCGCGGCGCCGCCGCCGCCGCCGGAGCGCCAGCTCAGCGTCGCCGACTTTGGAGCCAGCCTGCGCGGGTCCCGCACCGACGCAGCCGCCCTGCTGCTGCTGGCGGCCTTCACTGCTCTAGCGGGGCTGGGACTGGGGCTGCAGGATGAGCACACCTGGCTGCGCACCATCTGGGCCTCGGTGCTGCTGGGGCCGGCCGGGTGGGTGGGGCGGTGGTGGGTTAACTAGTCCTGCGGCGTTGGGTGTGGCCTTGCCACCGCCAGGCACAGCCATGCCTGCCTGCATCCCCATCCCTCACCCCCACCTGCTTGCCCGGGGTTGAGTACGCTGCGCCGCCCAGCCGGCTGTTGCCCGCTGCTGCCCCAACTTTGGGCCAAGTGTGAGCGGGCGTGCCTGCTGCTTGCACTGCCGTACCGCTGCTGCAGGTGCATCCTGCGCTGGTACCTCAGCCGGTTCAACTACAAGCTGCGCGGCAGCTGGGACTGGCTGCCCGCAGGCACCTTTGCCGCCAACATGCTGGGAGTGACCATCGACTGCGCGCTGCAGGTGTGTGCGGTGTGGTGGTGGTGGTGAGGTGGTGTGGTGGTGGGGCGGGCATCTGGGTGTGTGTGTGCTTGGCGACGCGTGTGTGCTTGGCGCAGGCACACTAGGCTTTGGACGCATGGGGGCGCGGCTGCGGCGGCGGCCGCCGAGCGCAGCCGGTCCCCTGCGGTGCGGCCGCCGTGGGCGCCGCCTCCGGCCCGGCCACGCCAAGGCGGGCGCTGCCAGTCGCCCACACTACGCCACGCCACGCACACCCCACTGCCCACTGCCTGCAGTGCGTACTGCAGAGGCGGTACGAGGCAGCCGGATACTGGGGCGTGCTGTGGCTCACCGCGGTACAGTCTGGCTTCTGCGGCAGCCTCACCACGGTATCCACCTTTGTCACAGAGGTGCGGCTGCCTGCCGGTGTGGCTGCCTGGCTGGCTGGCTGGCTCTGTGGGTTGGGTTGTAGCGCACCGCAGGCCGCTCCCTGGTGCCGTTCCCTGGTGTTCCCCTGCCACCACGCCTCCTCTCTTTCAAATATTGCCAAGCACCCCTGTTCAAACAGGACCAACATGCACTAAAGAAACACTCCAACAAACAGCCGACATGCCCCTCCCGTGCACCCCATTCCGCGCTTTCACCAATACATTAAGTTAATACCCCAAGCCCACATGCTTCCTGACCGCGCTTTCCTCCCCGCAGGTGGTCAAGTTTGCCGACGCCATCCCCGAAAACTTCCACGCCTACACATACGCCGCCATGTCGCTGGGGGGAGGCGCCGCCCTGTTCCTGGCGCTGTTTGGGTGGTCGGTGTGGGCGTGAGGGCGAGGGGCATGCGGCGGCGGGGACGCGGCGGCGCGTGGCGGGGTGCCCACGCCCCGCCCCGCCTGGGCGGGGCTGCACGGCGCCGTGGCTGCTTTCTTTTCGTGACCTGGCCAGGGGTGTCGTGTCCACTTTCATACCGAGGCAGGTACCCGTCACTACACTGGTAACTCTTCGCTTCAGTTCAGTTCGGTTCCATGAAAGGGCGGGGGCAGCGGCAGGCTGCGGACAGCAGGCGGCAACGGCAGCGAGGGCCGCAATCGTTGCGATGACGGCCAGCACAGCTGAGGAGCCGCCAGCACGTGTGGGCACACGTGCCTTCAGTCGATCTCAATTACGGTATCGTCTCCCCCAGGATCCATGCTGCCCAGCCCCGCCGCACCCTCTTGCCGCCGCTGCGCATCCGCCGGCGGCCCCAGCGGCAGCGCGGCGGCGGCTTCGATGGCGGCGGCCGCCGCGCGGCCGCCGTCAGGGGGCCGCAGCAACTGCGCCGACCCTGCCGTGGCTCGCGCGGCTGCCGGGGAGGCGTCCAGGCGCGGCGGCCGCGGCGACACCACCACCGGCGCATTCACCTCCTGCAGCAGCTCCGCCACCAGCCGGTCCCCTCTCTCCAGCGGATCCTCTAAAGGCGGGTCATCCGCCAAGATGTCGTTGAGCAGCTGATCCGCCTCCCGCAGCATGTGAGCAGCGAAGGGCTCGGCGGAGGGTTGCGGCGCCGGTGCCGCCTCGTCAGCGGGCACGCCCACCGCGCCCGCCGCGCCTGCCGCCACCACCCGCGTGCCCGCGCTCTGCCCCGCGCTGGGCGCCGCAGACAGCGTCTGCGCTGGCAGGGAGCCGGAGGAGGGCTGCCGGGAGGCAGCCGCTGCGGCAGGCGCCGGCGGGGGCTGCGTGGGCGCGCCCCCAGGCCAAGCCGAGGCCCTGGCCGGCGCCTGCTGCTGCTGCTGCTGCTGCTGCTGCTGCCATCGCTGGGGCTGCGGCCGCCCCTGCTGCTGCGGCTGCCCCTGCTGCTGCGGCTGCCCCTGCTTCCCCTGCGGCTGCGGCTGCTGCGGTCCAGCCTGCTGCTGCCGGCGCGCCGCCTCCACGCCACCCAGCTCGTGCTGGACCAGCAGCATCAGCCTCTGGCTGCACTTGCTGATGCGCTGCAGGCGCCAAGAGGGGGGCGGGCCCAGGGTGAGAAAGCCAGCAGGCACGCTCGAGCGGTGTGTTGGCCCAGCCCTCTGGCCGGCGCAGCAGCCCGCAGCTAGAAGGGCTGCTCCTCCATTCCCTGCCCTGCCCTGCCCTGCCTTGCCCCGCCCCGCCCCGCCCTGCCCCCTCCACCACAACCATGCCCAAAATCACAACCATAATCACAATCATAACCGCAGCCCCAGCCCCAGCCCCAGCCACACCAAACGCACCTGCAGCTGCTCCTGGAAGCGCCTCCCCGCGGCCACCAGGTCCACCGGGCAGCCGCCAATCAGCGCGGAGTGAGTCTCCCGGGTCTCCTGCTTGATGCTGGCTGCAGGGGGGAGGGCAGGCAGGCGGTTGGCAGGCCTGTGTGCATGTGCATACCCTAAACACAAAACGTGTGTGTGTGTGTGTGTGTGTGTGCACGTGGCACACTGGTGGTGCGAGTGGGTTCTGGGAGAATAACAGATGGGGCATCGAGACGGAAGGGCCAGCAGCGCCTGCTGCTCTGCGGCGCCGCGGGCGGGGCCGCACCCCCAGGCGGGCAGCTGGCGACACCACGGCAGGCAGGGCAGGTGCAGACAAGCGGGCGTGCGCACACACCCGACAGGGCTTGCATGTACTGGTTGAGCTCGCTGATGCCCAGGCGAGCCTTCCGCGCCTCTGGCGACAGCCCCGGCAGCGCAGAGATGGCTGCCACGATGGCCGGGCTGCGGGGGGGAACCGGGCACAGCGGCCGCCTGCCAGCGTGGCCGGCCGACGCCTCGCGGCCGCCGCCGGCGGCGCGCTGCTGCTGCTGCTGCTGCTGCTGCTGCTGCTGCCGCGGGCGCGCCTGCGGCTGCTGCTCCTGCTGCCTCTGCTGCGGCGCCTGCCCTGGGCCCTGCTCCTGGCCCTGCCACGGCTGGCCGCCCCGCGGAGCCTCCTGCCGCCGCTTGCTGAGTTTCAGGGGCAGCGTGAGCAGTGGGGGGTCTGGGGCGCCGGGCTCAGCCGCCAGCGCCGCCGCCAGGCGCGTCACGCGAGACTCCAGCCAGCCGTGCATGCGCTTGCGCATCAGAGTGTAGACCTGGCGCTGCGCAAGCAAAGGGAGGGGGGGCAAGCGAGCGTTGTGTGTGTGTGTGTGTGTGTGTGTGTGCGTGTGCCATGCTGGGAGGTTGGTGGGCTTGTGGGGCTGGGCGTGAGGGCAGTGGCAGGAGGAGGGGCAGCGCCAACGTGCGGCAGGCCGGCCCCGCCCGCTTGGCTGCCTCCCACCCGCCTGGGCGCCACAACCCACGCTCCCCGCCCCGCCCCGCGACTGCAGCTCGCCGCCACCGGCCCCCCGACGCAGCGCCCGCCCACCTGCACCCTTCCCGCGGAGGGCGGCGGCGGCGGCCCAACGGCGGCGGCGGCATCTGGGTACCGCAGTGCTTGCAGCTCTCGGGCCACCACCTCGGCCAGTCCCAGAGACTCATCCGCCAGAACCTCCTCCCACCTGCGCCAGCAGATAGGGGCGCGGCGCGGCGTTGTATGTGTGTGTGTGTGAGAGAGAGAGAGTGTGTGTGAGCGCCCGCAGGCAAGTGCGGTGCCGGTTGCGGCGGGATGCGGTGAGAGGCTGGGGCTGAGCTGGCAGGGTGCCGGTGTTCATGCAGGCGCATGGCGCAAGCCCACGTGGACGCAGGCATTGCCATGAGCCGCTGCAGCCACTGCCGCCGCCGCCACTGCTGCCGCCGCCAGCCTGGCTGCCAGCCTGGCCGGTCCCCCGCCCCGCACCTGCCATACCCGTGCTCCACCACCGCCTCCATCAGCCGCACATCGTGCGCCTGCCCCCAGGCCGTGAGGTGGGTGTGCAGGACGGGGCGTGCCAGGTTGCGGGCACATGGCAGCGCGGCGGCGGCAGCGGCGCTGCCCACGGCACGCAGCTGCTCGGTGGTGGTGCGCAGCAGGTGCAGCAGGCCCTGCACAGAGGTTTGGGGCGGGCGTGGGTGTGGGTGTGGGCATGTGCGCGGGCGTGGTGGGTGTGCAGGGCTGCTGGGCGTGCAGCGCTGCATGCCAGGCCGTGCCGAGCAGCGCCGAGCGGTGCCGAGCAGTGCCGCCGGACTCCTTTCCAGGCGGGGCAGTGCCAAGCTGCCTTTCCAGGGGAGCGGGGGCTTTGGCGGGGCTGCTTCCGGGGGTTGAAAGCCCCGGCGACCCACCAGGCGTGCCATGACATCCTTGGCGCACACATCACCCAGCACCTCTTCTCGCAGCTCCCACCCTGCACCTCAAACAGCAGGGGACGCAGCACAGCCAGAACAGACTGGTGAGGCGGCGGCCAGGCGGGGCCGCCGGCGGTGGTGCACATCTGCTCCCCTGGCGGCTGGCGCTGCCGTCCCGCCAAACCATATGCCGCGGCTGGTTTTCGAGACGCTGCGGGCCACAGCCGCCTCTCCCGCCTCTCAGTGCTTGCCGAGGTGGCGGCCAAGCAGCAGCCAGGCGGATCTGCCAGCAGCAGCGGCAGCGGGCCGCCTCACCGGTCGGCTGCGCGCCGCCGTCCTCCCGCGGCACTGCCGCCGCCGCCACCAGCTCCATCAAGAGCTTGCCATACTGCAATGGGGCGGGGAGCGGCAGGCAGGCAGGCAGGCAGGCAGGCAGGCAGGCCGGTCGGGGAATGCCGGCAGCACAGGCAGGCCACAAAGTAGAGACCAGCGGCAGCAGGCGCAGAGCGCGACGTTGTGGAAGGGATTGGCCGCCCCCCACCCCCCCCGCCCCCCCCCCGAGTGCAGCCCATGCAAGGCGCGGGCATGCCAGCCTGGCCGGACCTTCCGCCTCCAAACCACGCATGCGTTCCCAGGGCGGCTGCTCCCCTCCTTGCCTCCCTACCTTCTCCACCTCCCTCCCATGCTTGAAGGGCAGGCGGGCGCGCATGGGCGCCCAGTCGAAGCCGCCGCCCGGCAGCGCCGCCACGCCGTGCTGCATGACAATCCCCAGGAAGCAGCGGCGCTGCGAGGGAAGGCGCGGGAGGGAAAGAGGAGGGGGCGGGGGACAGGCACAAGGGGTGTGAGTAACTAGCGGTGGCTGGGGATGTCATGGTGGGGACATGGTGTGCACATTGTGTAGTGCGCCGGGGAAGGCGAGCGGGCACCCGGCGAGGCGCACCAGCCGCTCCCACCTGCAGCGCGGTGAAGCCCCAGACGCGCAGCTGGTCGCCCGTCCCTTGCACCAGAGGCCATCCCGCCGCAGGACGCAGCCACTCCCCGCCGCCAGCCCCCGCCAGGGCCTGGCAGCTCAGGCTCAGCGCCTCAACAAAGTCGCCTGCAGAGGAGGGCAGGGGGGGAGGGTGTGTGCGCGCACGTGCGCGTGTGTGTGTGTGTGTGTGTGTGTGTGTGTGTGTGTGTGGTAAGGGGGCCAGGCAGGCGGCAGAGGCACGCCACCAAATGGGCCACGCAAGGCCCAGCCCAGCGCCGGCCGTCCCAGCGGCCTCGCCTCTTTCGGCAGCCATCTCTGCAGGCGAGCGGCGGTGGCGCCTCGCCGTGGCCTGCTCCCCTCTTCCTCCTCCTCCTCCGCCGCCGCCGCCACCTCTGCCGCCGTGCCCGCCCGCGCCCGCCCGCTGCTCGCCGCTGCCGCCGCTGCCACCGGCGCGGGCCGCAGGCGCATGGTGGTGCGTCCACGAGGGCTTCCGCCGCCGCTCGTGCTCCTCAGCCACCAGCCCATCCCGGCCCCACTCCTCCGCCTCCTCCTCCTCCGCCGCCTGCTGCTCCTGCTCCTCCTCCGGGCCCACTTGGTAATCCTCGTCTGCGCAGGCAGGCAGGTGGGTTGGTGGGTGGGTGGGTGGTGGAAGCAGGCAGGCAGGCAGGTGGGTTGGTGGGTGATGGAAGGAGGCATGCACGTGATGGACCTCCCGCCTGCTTTGAAGCAGGCGGGCAGGTGGCCAGGCGCGCAGGCAGGCAGGCGTGCAAGGGCAGAGGCCGCGCAGGCGGGCGACAACAGCAGGCAGGCAGGCAGGCTGGCGGGCTGGCAGGCAGGCAGCGGGCGAGCATTGCAGCGGGGCGGGCGGGCGGCGGCGGCAGCCCACCCGAGGCGTCTGTCGAGCGGCTGCCCAGGCTGTGGCCGCCGTGCAGGCCCGCGCCGTGGTGCCCGCTGCCCTCGCTGCCCTCGCTGCCCTCGGAGCCTCCCTCCGCCAGCAAGGCGTCCAGGGCGGCATCCTGGTCCAAGTCGAGTATCTGGCGCCGCCGCCGCTTGCCCTTGCCCAGCGCGGCTGCCGCCTCGGCCTGCAGCTCCGCGTACCGCCCACCCAGCAACGCCTCCCAGAACGCGCCGGCAGACGGCTCGCCGCCGTCGCCGTCCAGAGAGAAGGCGCCGCTGCCGAGGGTGCCGCTGCCGAGGCCGCCGCCGGAGCCTGCCAGTCTGTCGGCCAGCCCCGCGCCCAGCCCGCCGCCGCTCTCGCCCCTCGCCAGGCCCTGCTCCGCAGGCTGCTCCTGCAGCGTGAAGTGCGCCACCTTGAATCCCGCCAGGATGTCGCGGTCGCCGCCGCCCGCCGCCGCCTCGCCCGGCTTCCCGGCAGCTTCCGGCTGGGAGGAAAGGTCGGAGCGGTCCAGCAGCTGGTCCAGCGCCTCATCAGTCCACACGATGGCCTGGGCATGGGCAGGAGGTGTAGTGCATGCATGGTGTGTGTTGGCAGGCGAAACCTCTGTGCTGTTTGAAGGCAGGGAACGGAACACCCAGCATGCAACCTTGCAGGCGACAGGAGGCAACCGGGGAGCAAGCGGAGGCGGCCACCGGTGCCGCCGCAGCCCCTCACCCGCCCATCCTGCCCGCCCGTGCGCCCCGCCTGCTGCTCTCGCACGCTGGTGGGCACAGGGCGCCCCCTACCGGCCGCTTCGGCCTCCCTGGCGCCTGCAGGAGGCAGCAGGGAGAGGATCGGCTGGTCAGGGATCAAACGCGCGGTTGGGGTGACCAGCAGGCGGGAAGGCGCTCGCTGCCCGCTGGCAGCCGCACACGCTGGGCTGGAGGAACGGTGCTGCAAGCTGCTGCCGCCCAGGCTGTGGCGCCATCCGGGCTTGCCTGCTTCCGCGCCGTCTGGGGCAAACAGGTCTGCAGCCCCAAACTTTATGAGGTCCTGCCGCACATGGGAGGGGAAGAGGAGGAAAAATGACCACACATGGGAGGAGAAGAAAGGAGGAGCAAGAGCAGCAGGAGCAGGGACTCAAAAGCGCTGGGATTGGCGGCGGCGCGCTGCTCGTGCTGCATTGCAACCAATGCCAGCATGCACCTGCCACACACAACTGATCCCTAGGCCCTAACCCACATACATACCACCCCCCACACACGCCGAGCCATCGCGGCACCTGCAGCTCGCTCTGCCCCAGGGCGGCCTCGCCGCCCTCCTTGGCGGCGCGGGGCTGACGCTTCATCTTGCGCACCACCACATGCTCCAGCACCAGCTTGCCCTTGGCGCGCTGCGGGCAGGGCGGGCGGCATGTGGTGGCTAAGCAGGGGCGTCTCTGAGCAGTGGCATGCCGGCGGGACATGTGGGCTGTGGCAGGGGCGGGGTGGATGGCGGCGGGTGGCACAACTCCCGGCATGCACAACACACGCAGCCTCCCACCTGCAACATGCGCACCTGCACAGCCACCCATCCCACCCCCACCCCCACCACACACACACACACACCGCCAACCACACAACACACGCACCAGCCCGCCAACCATACCAGACACACTCACCCCACCAACCACCACACACACCGCCAGCCACACCACACTAGACCAGCCCGCCGCCACCTCGCCCCAGCATCGCCCCCACCTGCATCATGCGCTCCTCCACGGTGGCCCTGGCCACCAGGCGGTACACCATCACCCCGCTGGACTGACCCAGGCGGTGGGCCCGCGCCTGGGCCTGCAGGTCGTTGTGGGGGTTCCAGTCTGCGGGGGGCGGGGGAGGGGTGGAGGGGGGGGGGATGGGGCTGCAAATGACACACTGCATTCCAGGCATGTTGGGGAACGACAGTGCAGAACAGCAACACACTCCAGAAGCACAGCACAACCACAGCATGCGCAGCGCAGCACAGCACAGCACAACCACAGCCTGCGCAGCGCAGCACAGCGCAGCGCACCCGAGTCGTACAGCACCACCGTGTCTGCGGTGGCCAGGTTGATGCCCAGGCCGCCCGCCCGGGTGGAAAGCAGGAAAAGAAAGTAGCGGGAGGGCTGGCCGTTGAACGCGTCGATGCGACGCTGCCGCTCGGCGGTGCCTGCGGCAGGGCGGGCAGGCAGTGGACGCAATTACGCAAGAGGGGGTGGGACTGCAGGCGCCCAGAAGACCACTACAAACACACATACACACGCACACCACTGGCAGCCTGCGCCTGCGCGAGCCTCACCCACGCTGCCGTCCAGGCGGAGGTAGGAGTGACCCCGGGCGGCGCAGTACCACTCCAGTACATCTGCACAGCACAGCACAGCACAGCACGCCAGGGTGGCACACCTCTCCAGTTCAGGCGCTGGTGTTGGGGTGTGGCTAGGGAGCAGCAGGGAACATCCCGAGCCATGCATGGAGCACTCTCTCAGCCCCCACCACGTCCACCACACACATGCGCAGGCAGGCGCAGGCACGCGGAGGGGTGCCGGGAGCCACAGGCACACCCACAGGCACCCACCCAGCATGAGGAGGAACTGGCTGTAGATCAGCACGCGGTGCCCCGGCTTCAGCTTCTGCACGGGAGGAGGGGCAAACGCAGGGGCAGACGTGTGCGCTTGGGTGTATCGCACGGTGGTTACGTGCGGCAGGAGGCGCAGGCAGGGCCGCTGGCGGATGGAGAAGGAAGGCTGGCAATGTCAGGCGGCGCATCAGCATGTGAATGGAGTACAGTGCTGCTCTCGCCTGCAGCATGCGGTCGAGCAGATCGAGTTTGCCAGACCCGCTGAGTAGCAGGTCCACCTGCATTGGCGGGAGGGGCAGGAGGGAAGTGTGGGAGGAGGAAGGGAAGAGCAGGCACGGCCTGCCTGCTCTGCGGCAGCCCAGATGCTCACCCAGGGCGGCCCGGTGGGGCGGGGGGTGGGCGGGTGGAAGAGCAGGTAGACGTGCTGCACCTGCACACGCACATGGGTAGGGCAGGCGGCAGAGCGCTGGGGCCGGGCAGGCATCCACCCAAAACTGCAGCAGCAGCAGGCTGTCGGTGCCACCAGCCCCAGCCCGCCGCCGCCGCCATAGCACTGGCACTGCAGCGCACTGCGCCCCGCCAGCTCAGCGCCAGCTCGGCGCAACCTCACCGCCTTGCGCAGCTCCATCATCACGTTCTTCAGCTTGGAGGTGCCGCCACGGGTGAGGCTCTCGTAGGAGTGGGTGAGGATGCTGCGGTACACCTGCGGGACAGACAGGCAGGCAGGCAGGGGCTGGTATCCCATGAATACACCACACGATGCGGCAGCTGACTCGGTACGGAGCAGCCTTTCCGAGTGAGCAGCAGGCAGCCACAGAGTGGCCGTGCCATTCCACCCAGGGCCACAGGGTGACGCAGGTACCGCCTTGAGCGAGGCCCCCAGGCGTCACCGCCTGCCGCCCACCTGCTTCTGGCTGCCCGACAGCTCCACCCCCACAATCTGCTCCTTCTTGGGCGGCAGCTGGCGCAGCACATCCGCCTTCATGCGGCGCAGCAGGTGGGGGCGTAGCAGGGCGTGCAGGCGCGCCACCTGCGCAGCGCAGGAGGTGGCGCGCGGACGGGTGAACACGGCCCGGCTGGGCAGGGGCAGAAGAGGGCACGGTGCACGGCACGCGCAGCATTAGGCCTTGCTGCCTCGCCCAAAGGAAGGCGCAGGAAGGTTGGGTATGATGCGACTAAAACACAGCATGCACAGCGGGGACCTGCCCCTGTTGATGTGAGAAAAGCAGCAGGGCAGGGCCACCTGCTCCTCGTGGCCCATGTCGTCAAATGCTTGCTGGAAGGCCTCTGCAGGGTGGGTGCATTGATCCATGGAAACATGCATGGAATGTTTACACAATGCGTGCGCGCTGCTGTGTTCCTGCCATAGCAGCAATCTCCGCGTGCCGCGTCTCGCCAAGCCGCCCCCGCACACACACACACGCATACGCGCCACCCCCAGCCCAGCCCACCCCGCCCCACCCGCCTCACCCAGGCTGTCAAAGCGCTGTGGCTCCAGGAAGTGCAGCAGCATGAAGAGCTCGCTGAGGTCATTCTGCAGCGGGGTGCCTGCAGGCGGCAGGCAGCGGGAGGCGCAGGGGAAGCAGCAGAATCGGCAGCAGCAGCAGCAGCAGTGGCGAAGCTCGGGAGGCGGCGGTGGAACCAGTCTGGCGAGCAGGCCACAGTGTGGCGAGCAGGCCAGCAGCGATCATCATGCGGCAGATCGACCAGTGCCAGGCGGCAAGCCCCGCGGCAGCCCTGCCGCAGCGCGCTGCCTCGCGTGGGATGCCGCCCCCCGGCGCCACCCGCGGCGGCTCACCCGTCAGCAGCACGCGGTGGCGGCAGCGCAGGCTCTGCAGCGCCTGGAACAGCCGCGCCTGCAGGTGGCAGGCAGGTGCGCGGAGCACGCTCAGACGACCGCCCGGCTGTGGCCACACGGCCTCGTGGAAACAAGACGAAAGGCTGCTGCTGCTGCCACCCGCCGTGGATCACCGCACCTCCCACTTTTTTCCTCACGCCCCTCGCATGCCCTTTCCCACCCACCACGCCCCTCCTTGCCCTTCATTTGCTGCCCCTCATCCACCACCAGCCCCTCCTGCACTTCTTGCCCT